TGACACGCGTGTCATAGGTTCGCCATCACTGACCTATATTAATATTAAGCTACCGGTATTCATCTTAAGAAAAAGATTCCTCACCTCCTATTTCTGCTAGCAGATTTGTTCTTCAGCAACATTCGCAAGATCATTTATACCCCAATTATGTGGTAGAGAAAGGCTAGATGTTACTGCAATTTGTGAATGAGTTGCTTACAGACATAAATTGCATATGAACAATTACTATGAAAGGTGATCAAACTTTATTGCAACAGTATGTAAATTTTAATACATACGTACATTTATAAGAAACCCTCAGGTATACTTTTGTTGTTATTTTGGTATCTTCCTATTTATTTCCTTTTCTATTCTGTTCATTTTTAGGAAGTAGGTAAAGCGGGGAAAGGCTACTTAAGAGTTAGAATTTGTAATCTTTAGACAAATGGGTGAACTTTCTGCCTTTAAACCAAAGAGAAAAATTCATCCAACCAGTTATTGCCAATATCTGTATTTCTTAAAATTAAACTCCGTAATTTAAACCTTTCCCCCTGAGCCGTTTTCCAACAGTGAACAGAATTTCTTTTGTTTTTATTGTTTATCTAATTCAGAAGAAAAATAATAAAAGGGGTCATATTTTTCATGTTTGAAAAGCAAACACAGATTCTTGGAGCCAGGTCACTATAGCTCTCCCATCTCCAATGAATGAGCTTTGTTGTAAATTATAGTTTAGCTTCAGTTCCCTTGAGTGAGGGAAAAGAGCCTCCAAAGAGAACTGAGTTTCAATTGGCGATTTTCTTTCTCCTTTTTCATTTCCTAATTGAAACCAAATGTGAAATATGTTGGATTGTGGGATTTCTGGCCTGGTCCCAGGAATCCTCAGAATGCTAAATTGCTCGCAAAGGCATCTTGCATCAGCCTACAGAAGTTTCTTTCCAGCCCGGCTTCTCCATCTAGGGAGAGAAAACAAGAACTATCTACTTTCCCTTAAAGCTGTGGATTAAATTTGTGGAAACGTCCTGACTTTCTCTACTTTAAGGTGATTTTAAAACCCAGGTATGGATTTTATTATGTTTTTTATAAACCGATAACCAGACTTTCTCCCTCTCGGTCTATCTAGTCGAAGAAGCGA